CGGAGTGTAGCGGTATACCTCCACGATGTGAGCAAAGTGTACTACTGAGGCTTTTTCTATTCAAATACTCACCATTAATTATAAGCACACGAAGGGCCGAGTCTGAGTCACCGAGGAGGTTGCTTATCCTCGGAGGGATTTTGGTCGGAGGACAGCGTGGCCTAAGCGGTTTACGAGCGCGAAACCCAGCTTATCACCATGGGCTCCTATGTAGACCGGCCTTGCACTTATCGTGCCGATAAGACCGAGGGATTTATAGCTGCTACGAAAGAGCGGCTCCATCAGCTTGATCGCGAGCATCCGGACACTCAAGAATCAACAGTCGAGTCTATCCCTGACCATGTTGCGTATTGGCGTCGACGTTGGAGGTGAGTGACATTTCGTATAGCGAATGTTCTCTTCCATATGTGTATTTCAACCGTGATGCAAGCTGACTGACGAATACGCAGGAACGAACACCGACGGTGTCCTCATCGATGTGACTCGTCTGCACGAGCCCACTCGCGGGGTACTCGCTCACTTCAAGGCGCCTACTACCCCGAACGTATCGGACGGTATTGAGAACGCCGTGCGCCAGGTCCTCACGATCGCGTCCGTTCCTCCCGAGAAGGTCTCCTGTGTGAGCATCGGGACCACTGCGTTCATCAACGCTGTACTCGAGGCGGATGCGAGGCGGCTTGCGAAAGTCGCCGTCGTCCGTATCTCCGGTCCGTATACGAGGCAGTGTCCCCCGTTCATCGACTTTCCGCCGCCATTGCGCGCTTTGACCGAGGGATATGTCGGTTACGTTGATGGCGGGTTGGAGAGTGAGTCTTATTGCTGCTGTGCCCCCGGTTTCTCATATTGATAAGACTAGTCGATGGACGCGAGATCAGACCACTCAAGGAGGAACAACTCATCGAACAGTGCAAGCTGATCAAAGAGAAGGGACTGAAGAACGTGAGTGTTCCAGCCAAATTGTTGCGAATCTGACGCTGAGGCCAACTTGCAGGTGGTGCTCTGCGGAGTCTACACTGCCTTGGACAGTGAGGGCAAACATGAGATCCAGGCGGCGAAGATCATGCAGCGCGAATTGGGTCCGACGGTGAACATAGTCTGCTCACGCGATGGTAGGTATTCTGTCTTCATGGCGCCCTCGCACCGCGACGCTGACTTTTCTCTCTTCCAGTTGGTCAAGTTGGCTTCTTCGAGCGAGAGAACGCTACTATCCTGAACGCTTCTATTCTGACTTTCGCTCAACGCACGATCCGCGGCTTCCAAGCGGCCATGAAAGCGCTCAATCTCTCCTGCCCGCTCTTCCTCACGCAGAACGACGGTACGCTGACCACCGCGGTCTCCGCGGCGCGCCTCCCGATCCGCACCTTCGCCTCGGGGCCGACGAACTCCATGCGCGGCGCGGCGTTCCTCGCGGGCCTGGACGAGCCCCGCGCAGGCGCGCAGCGTAAGTCGACCATTGTCGCGGACATCGGAGGGACGACGACGGACGTCGGTGTCCTCCTGCCGTCTGGCTTCCCGCGCCAGGCGGCGTCGTTCATCGAGGTGGGCGGCGTGCGCACGAACTTCGCTATGGCGGATGTGCAGTCCATCGCCCTCGGCGGAGGCTCGCTCGTCAAGTCGTATGAGACACCGCAGGGCCTCCACGTTGCTGTCGGCCCGGAATCGGTCGGGCATTACCTCACTCGAGATGCAAAGGTGTTCGGCGGTGACGTTCTGACGACCACGGACATCGTCGTTGCTAGTGGTCGTGCGGAAGTGGGGACGAAAGACGCGGTAGCTGGTATCAGCGCGGACATCGTTGAGAAGGCCGTGGCAAACATGAAGAAGCAGCTAGAGGGCATCATTGACAAGTATGTGGCAATATGGCGGAATGTCTTGTATGTATTGACGCGTTGCGTTACAGGATGAAGACCTCTCCTGAGGATGTGACTGTACTGCTCGTGGGCGGTGGCAGTATCATCGCCCCGGATCATCTCGTGGGGGTAGGTGAGATTCTACGTCCCCCGCACTACAGCGTGGCAAATGCCGTTGGCGCGGCTATGGCGAAAGGTAGGCGACCTCCTTTATTTCTCCACTCCTTCGCTGAATGACACTCTGCAGTCGCTGGCGAGATCGACACGATCGAGCTTCTGCAGGGCAGAAGCATCCACGACGTCATAGACAACATCAAGGCTCAAGCTATCGACAAAGCGATTAAGGCTGGCGCCGATCCTGGTAGGTTCTAACTTGCGTCGTCAACCAATTTATTCCAATGTTGTATCAGCCACCGTCAAGATCGTCGAAGTAACCAACCTGCCGGTGCAAGTATGTGTTCCCGTCAACACGATGTACAAGGTTGCTGATAGTCTGCGTAGTATGTGACTAACCAAGCGACTCGTATTATCGTGAAGGCCGCCGGTGACCTGGCTCCTGAAGCAGTCGCGTCTGTCAGCGCAATTGACGACTCTCTGGAAGACCTTGGTGAAGACGACTACAAGGAAGGCGACAAGACAGCTTCTGGGGACGTCGCTGAGGCAGAAAGCATCGATATCGAGACATATAAGCCGACTATCAGAGCGGACAGATCGTGGGTCTTGTCTGAGCTCGATCTCGGTGAGGATTTTTATGGGCTGCGTTCGCATCGCTGTACTCACAAGCTGTGTAATGCAGAATGGATTGCGGAGGGATGCGGCGTAATGGGCACCGGCGGCGGAGGCTCGACCTACCCGCCCTTCCTCATGGCCCGCCAGAAGATGCGCGATGGCAAGCAGATCGTCGTAGGTCAATTTGTCTCTTCGCTGTGGCATCCATCAGACGGATTGGCAGGTCGTAGATCCTGAGGACATCCCGGAGGACGCGTGGTTCCTACGCTGCATGTTTATGGTGAGATCACATTCTGGTGCGCGTTGATAAACGACTTTCCTGACAACTGTCGTAGGGATCACCTAGTGTCTCAGTGCGTATATCGTCTTTGCCACGTACATCTGTGATCGTTGCTCATGTTCATGCAGTCCGAGCGGCTGCAAGGCGGAACTGAGCTCCCGGCTGCAGTACGTGCCTTGACAACCTACATGGGCCTCAAACTAGACGACGACGTCTTCGGCGTGATCTCTGACGAAATTGGTGGTGGAAACGGGCTTGAACCGATGATCGTTGCAGCAACCATGGGCAAGACCGTATTAGATGCCGATCTCATGGGTCGGGCGTACCCTAACGTATGTTACCTTCGCAAGATGCACCTGCATGATGATGCTCACCATTTTGACGTTGCAGCTGTATCAGACGTGAGTTAGGCACATATCGTCTGCGTGATGACTGGCGACTGATTTCGTCTAACAGTCTTCCCGGCGCCTATAACCTCCCAGGCGGGCTGTGGCCATGTGCTATCTCAGATGCTATTGGCAACACCGTTGTAAGCTTACGGTTATCTGCCGCTGAAGACAGGAGTAATTGATCCTTCGCCAGGTTCTGCCAAGTGCCAGCAATAGAATGTCTGTCGAGACAATTTTGCGTACAATCACTACCGAGTTGGGATCTTCAAGCGGTTTGACCATGCCGCCTCTCAAGCGCGTCACCTGTCAGGACTTCGGTAAGTTGTCGCTTGCTTCAAAACGACACATTTGTTAAGATGCGCCTTGCGCTTGCTTCAGGTATCACCCATAGTGTGTCTCAAGCATGGCGCCTAGGACGTGCCGTCGCACTCTGTAGGAAGAACAATGACTTGAAGGGTATCCCTACCAAGATCCTTGAGATTCAGAATGGTGCATGTCTGTTCGTCGGCAAGGTCGTGGATGTGTCCAGGGTGAGTATCATCGCTTGCATGATCTCAAGCTTCCTGGCGCTTATGCCTCTTGGACGTTCAGGAAGTCCGCAAAGGCTTCACCTGGGGCTCGGTCACGATAGCGCCCCTCATGGAAGAGGAAGAAGAAAATAATTCTGCTTCTGGGAGTGCTCCTGCTCCGTATGGTCCAGACGACCGCCTCGTCATACCCTTCCAGAATGAGAACCTGTACGCGTGCCTGGAGAAGGCAGATGGCAGCAGTCAGGTATTTCTACTACGTACCAGGGCTATCAACGCGCGGCTGACATATCTGTGGTAGATTCTCGTGACCGTACCCGACTTGATCACTGTGCTTGACTCACAGAATGGTGCAGCACTCGGAACGCCTGACTATCGGTGAGTCGATTGTCGTGCAATCGGTTCTGAGTCACATTCTCAAGTTGTTGTACCAGCTACGGTCTGCGCGTCACTGTGATAGCTATGGCGGCGAGCCCTAAATGGACGAGTACAACAGAAGGCTTGACCACTGGTGGTCCTTCCGCGTTTGGGTACGCTCTTCCTTCGATAGTTAATGGCGACCACCCCACTGACTCCTCGCGTACGCAGTTTGCACCAAGTGCAGTTCACGCCGATCGCAAAGTACAAACCACCTCAGAGCGTCATCTCTGAGTTCGCGTGATTTGGAACCACACTTCGACTCAGACTAGCTCTGTGCGACGAAAATACGGGGCTGTGCATGCCCCCCAAGGGCTTCCGTCCACTGGCAGTACTCCGGTAAAATGAAAGTTATACTACATGCAGGGTGTTCCGTGCAGGGTGTTAAAAGACGTATTGAAACGGTGTATGTACTGTAAAGCGCTGCCTTATCAAATGTTTTATACGAAATGATTGCGCAAGCGAGACGAATTTACCAATGGCTTGCTTTAGTATCCGTTAGACTCGAACCCAGTCGAAAGAGGCGCCTCACCCCTTTTCAGACACTCCTCCTTTTAGTAACTTCAAAAGCCGAGAAAGGAATCGGAGTGCGAAAAGGAGGTGAGGGCCTCTAACGACTGGTGGAATTGGCCCCCATTTACCCCAGTACCCCTTTAGCGCCGGGGACTTAGAGAAATCGCGTATGGCTCTCTCATGGACTCTGGCTGTGGCGGCTGACTTCGATCCACAGAAGACGTCTCGGAATCGATCTAGTGAGAACATATGCCTAGTTCTATGTGTCCTTACAAATAGAATATGATATGCGGGGTTATCCTCCACTACCTGTTCCCTTGGGGCCTCCTCGCGCACGACCTCGGCCTCGACCGCGTCCTCGACCTCGGCCCCGCGCTGCGTTCACCTCGAGATAGTTTTCTGAGGTGAGTTGCATCTGAAATATGTCAGTTTGGCCTCCTATGGGTGCGGCAGATGATGTTCCTTGTGCACGAAGGTCTCCGGCTTGTGAGGTACTGCGAACAGGTGTGTGTACGCCCGTGTACGATGCAGTGGGCGATGGTCCACGTGTAGCAGCGTACCAGGTAGCGTGCAAATCGACGGGCGATGGAGCAGGTGAAGGGCCGTGCGACGCAGCGGGCCAAGGAACATGCGACATAGCCGACGACCGTGACGGTCCGTGCGTGGCGACAGCCCAGGAAGCAGGTGAGGCAGCGCCGGGCGAAGGACCATATGACATGGCGGGCGAAGGACCACGCGAGGCAATAGGTTGAGGATACTGCGAGGCAGTGTCCCAGGGAGGAGGCGATGCGGGAACCAAAGAACCACGCGATGTGGAGCGCGAGGGACGATCCGGTGTGACGGGCAAAGGGCCATGGAAGCGGGCATCCCAGTTAGGAGGGAAAGCGGTGGGTGACGGACCATGCGACACTGTGGGTGGCAGACCGTCAAAGTATGATGCAGCGGGTGGAAGACCGTACAATGCCGCAGGCCAAGATGGACCTGCCGCGGTGTATGAAGAGCTATGCAACGCCACGGGCCAAGTAGTGTGTGACACGGTGGGCAATGGTCCGTGGGCGGCGGCGGCCCAGGTATCAGGCAGTGCAGCGGGCGAAGGACCATACGAGGTGGCTGGTGAGGGACCGTGCAAGGTGGCGGGCGAAGGATGGTGCGAGGGAGTCGGCGAAGGACCCCAACGTGGTCGTTTGGAGGATGATAGGTCGGGCTTGCTGGGGGCGTCGTTGTCGGTAGCTGTACGCTTATTCTTCTGGCTCCGTGTCCCTGTTTTTGGTGGCTTAGCCCGAAATTCGATTTGCATTCCCGAGAGCAAGTCAACAAGCTCGCTCTCATAACGGTCACGCCAGATCCAAGTGGCAATGATGGTAGAGACCGTGGGATGTGTTAGCGGGCCTACGGAGGTGAGTTGTTGGATTAACGAGTCACTCAGGATTGCACCCGGGCCGAAGAGCGCATCGACGTGATCCTCGTCGAGTTTCTTCTGTCGCCAATCTTCGAGGGCAGTCTGCGCAGCAATATCTGAGAGGCCTTGCTTTCGGCCCCTCTTCTTCTTTGTCGCATTGGGAGATTCCAGACACCGTGCGCGGTTAAACAACGAAGGATCGCATACATCGCAGCACGGCACCGTGACACGAGACACTGAATCTGTTCAATGAGTGGCAGATTAGTACTTTTGTGATCGACTGAGAGCTGTTGATTGTACCTCCGCTCGGACACTCATATACCTGCCTCCAGACACGCCTGCGACATTGAGTACTCTGCACAAACACGAGAAGGCCTTCATCTGCAGCCTCCATATCGACCTCCGGTTGATCAGACGCATTGAGGGGTTCATCAGCATCACCGGCACTGGCTCCTCGATTTACACCATGCCTGGCAGCATACTCTTGCGGACTTGGAGCCTTCTGGCGACCACCCCGGGACTTGCCCTTGCCACCACGTCCACGTCCACGTCCCGAAAGGACCTTCGACTGTGGGATAGGCTCCTTGGCTTCGGATGAGGGCTTCGGGACCTGAACATCGACAGAGTAAGCAGACCGCTCGACGAGGAGGATGGCAATGCCTTTGCGGCCTCGACCGCGAGCCGCGCGTCCGGCACGTTGAATAAAATTTGAGAATGTCTTCGGCAATTTCCACTGCACGACACGATCAACGTCGGGGACATTGCATCCCTGGCAATATGAAATGATTCATCAGTGAGATCTCGGCACTGCTGTAGGCTTACCATCCCTGCGGCATCCGTGCATACCAGGACACGAATCGGCCCAATCTTCATGCCGTCTGCGATCATGTCACCTTGGCTGTAGTCCATGTTACTACGAAAGGCGGCCATGGCGTGGGTGCGATATTGGGATGACATCGTGGCATTGAACGGCCGAATGATACCACTCTCGTATAGACGAGGGTTTCGCTTTCGGAGTAGTGTGCCGAGGTGATCCATTATGTTGTTACCTTCCTCAATGTTATCAACATAGAGGTACGTTTTGGGTATGTCTTGTGCATCATTGATCGTCTCGGGGATGATGAAGTCGAGGTCAGCAAAGGTATACTGGGGGTATTCACATGCTCGTACGACAATGGATACATTAGGTCGGTCATTCCCGACGTTCACAAACTTGCTGCCGAGCTTGGGAAAATGTAGGTCGTTGTGTAGATCACGTCGGACACGAGCCGTAAGAGTTGCAGTCACAGCAATGACTGGTGTGCCCAAGGGAAGGTATGCGCGAACCGTTCCGAGGCTGGCATAATGCTTGCGGAAATCAGCACCCCAGTGTGATAGGCAATGGGCTTCATCAACGACGAGACTCAGAACACGTCGTGTGAATCCTGAGTTGCGGAGGACTCTGTCTTTGAACGATTGTGAGAGAAGCATCTCCGGCGAGATGAGGATAACTCGGTAATCGCCCCGGACAATCTCCTAGTATCTATGAGGCATTGTGTGACAATAAACTGATGTATGTGACGTACGTGCATAATGCGCTTGTTCTCAGACAGACTGTTCTGGCCATTGACTGCGACGGCAGTGAGACCAAACTCGGTTTTGAATGTCGTGACCTACAGATACTATGAAGCTTTTGAATTGAGATGACGAGAGTCGCAGTCGAGCGTACCATCTCTTCCTCTAATGCGAGCAGTGGACAAACCATGATGGTCGTCATGCCCTCGTTTCCGGGCCAAAGATGCGGACCAGCTGCAATGGCCGTCTTGCCAGACCCAGTAGGGGCCTGTATGACCGTGTCAATTCCTTCAATCTGCGCCTTGACACCCTCAACTTGGAAGAACCGTGGCTTCTCTGGCCAGTGAAAGCGATCTTGCATGAGCATAGACAAACGTTCGATCTCTTCCGCCGTGAGACGTGGGCGCATTTTCCGGGGCTGCACACGCCGCGCATTCTGTCGAAGCTTGTATGCATTTTGACCTGCTCGTCCTGGCATGATTTGTGTCGAGACTGATGTTACGAGGGTGATGAATGCAAGGGATAAAAGAGCGCTGGTCAAAACTCACCTGCCGATCACCCATAGGTCCACGCCACTCTCGATCAGCGTAGAGCACAGACTGTCAGTTGCTTGACACTTGACTCTTGAACCTTTGGATGGTGTTCTTAGCGCACGATGTCTCAACAAATGCAGAGGCCTACTACCCCGTTGCCACCGTCATCACCATTGGGACCAATCACACCGTCCTCGGATGAGCCTTCGCAAGCTGAAGCGGCTGACACAACTCCTGTCGCTGGCCGAGTCCCTCCTCTCCCCTCACTCTTTGCTGGGCTGTATCAGCTTTCCCCTGACCCGCCAAGCAACCATGTAGTCTCGGATACCTCCATGATACCAGAGTCACCTGCACGCACCAAGGAGGACCGACGCCGCAAAGACAAGGCTGATCGAGAGAAGGCTCAGCGCCTAGCCGAAGAAGTTGAAGAGCGAGACAGGGAAGTGCATTACAAGACAACCTGTGACCGCATATTGAAGATTCTTGAGGAGGAAGATATCCCCTTCATCGAGCTTCTTCGCCACATCTCGGACCCGGGCCGTTACCAGGGCAAGCAGCGGTATTGGGGCCTCTTTCGCCACACAGAGGTTGTGAAAGACGTCCTTGACATGTGGGTCTCCTCAGGCAATAGCGCGACAGGGAGGGCAGTAGTGGAGGAGTGGGCCGTGGAGCACGTTAGCAGCTTACTAGCTCGTGAAGGGGTTGCAGCAAGCGAAAATGGCTTTCTTCGCACAGAGAAGAAGTCAGTCGACGAGACATTCACCTTGGATTTTGAACTCGGATTACTCTCCAAGGAGCTCGACAAGCAATGCCCTATTGTGATGCAGCTCTTGTCAGCATTCAGCACCTCATCACGGCAGAGGCGCAGGAATACCTTCAGTTGGCAGAGGCGCCGTCAGAACGTGAGTGATCAATCGATACATGCAGCAAATGCAAGTAACTCAGCGAGACAATAGTACCTCACCACCTGCGCTCTGATCTGTCTCAGTGCCCGCAGTCAGAAGAACAATTACTCGCGGTGTATATTCGGTCTGTACGCCTACACAGCAGGCGCGAAGCGCCAAGTCATCGAATTGCTCTCGCACATCGGAGTATGCTGTAGCTACAGCGCTCTGGTCGGAAACCTAGGCGATGATACCCTCGCTGACATCGAGGATGAAGACACCGCAATAGACTTGGCACGGACTGCATCTGGGTTTGGTATAGAGAGCTTAGACGCAGAGTCATCGGACTCGGAGGATGAAGAAGACATACCTCCCACCATTTCAAATCCCCAGCATCGTAACCGTACCACTGAAGTCACGATGTCTACGCACCCCGCACCTCCAAGGCCATTGCCAGACACATCCCGCCGTCTTCGGTCACCATCCAGTGACAATTCCAGTCCCACCACTGGCGCTGCTGCACCACCTGTTGATGTGTCACCAAACATTCCCCACGAAGTCCCGTTGCGAGCTGATCCAGATGGCTCAAGTGATAGCCTTTGGGACGCCCTCGATCACGTCCTTGCTCACGAGCGTGCGGCCAGCGGTCCTCAGAGTGAAGCAGACGAAGAAGTATCAGCAGCAATTGAAGAGCTTCGTCAAGAGAGCCGGGCCACACCTGCACGCAACAACGAGAGAGGTGCTGAGACGGCAGAGAGTGCGACGAAGAAGAAGAGGCGCGTGGAGGGCATTCTCAAGCGGCTCTCAGACGCGTGTCGACGCGCTGCACGTGTAAACGCGTCTTCGCGTCTACTCGCGTTTGTCTACGACAACATCAACATGGTGTTCCGTGTCGCGGAACAGATCCTGGGACGCAAAGACTCCCAGGAGAATGGTACCTGCGCGACTGCGTTTGACCTCTATGGCGCCACAGAGGAAGCAATGCGAACGGCGGATGTTATGTCATCGTTTATGGACGCCCCACCACTGGCACGCGACGATCTTATATTCTCCACGCAGGAATCTCTGGACTTCAAAGAACTACTTCAGCTTACCGTACTTCGCATCATAGTGACTCATGGAGGCAACACTTTCTCTCGCTTCCGCGCACAAGTCGACTCGTTCGGTCCACTTCTCGACACCCGCATTCCCCTGCACCGTACCAACATCTACCCTCTGCCGTCGATGAAGATTGACGAGTCTACTATTGTCGGCAACGCGGATGTGACCAAAGCTGTCCTGTCTGAGCTTGGCAAGGATATGAGCTCGCCGGAGTTTGGCAAGGTTGTACAAGTCATCGCCGGTGATCAGCTCTCTATCGCACGGCTTCGTTCGCTGACAAGGAATCGCTCTGGGCACGACAACTTCCCAAACTCTTTCCTATGGGCTCTAGTCATGCCTGGGATTTTCCACTACAAGATGGCTGCGACACATGGTATCATGGAGCTCTTCTATGGTCGCACCACGAGCCACCGCAACCCCGGCTCCCTCGCATTCCATAACACTGTGCTCGACCGTAAGCCAATCACCTTGACCTCCCTTCCTCCATTCCGGACCTGCCAAGACCTCATCTTCGTCTCTCTGTACGCCCGTATCCTCGTCTGTCTGGAGATCGTCACTGGAAGGACTGACCTCGATGAATACGGCCAAACTGTCTCCTGGAGCCGACTCAAGGACGATGTGGCTGAGATAGTGCGGCGATTCACCACTAGCCGGACTGTTGGCTCCCTGCGAACCTCCCGCGCAGCTGAGCTGCGAGCACAGCCGGACAAAACCACAGCCGAAGTTGACAAGGACAGCAGTGCGTACCCTCTAAATGTCTGTCTCGTATTGCTATCTCATCCTAGGATGCTAGCCACTGCTCACCCAGAGACTGGGCCGCACCGCCTTTCTCAGGGAGACATGGTCTTCGAGAATGCAATCCTTTTCATGCGCGATGCTCTCGTCCTCCGTGCCTTGACCGATGCGGTCAAAACGGGCGTCTCAGGACGGCTTGTACTGCTTCTGAAGGCACTCGCACTCATCTACCGGGGCTCGGGAAGGACAAAGTATGCCCAAGAAGTGCTCTTCCTCGTCCACAATCTAACTCATGTCTGGCCAGAGGAGCTGCGGTGAGCATCCCGACTCCTTCTACTTCGCTTGAGAATGATCTCACCAATGATTCACATAGGAAAATCGTCCTGAACAACTGGCTCGTCAATCCGACGGGACGGGAATCCTCGTGGGTCGAAGTGGACCTACTGCAAGAGCACATGAACTACTGGATTAAGGTATGTACCAATGCTCGTCCCGATGGCCGTTGCACCCCGCTGACTGCGATCCGGGTTGCCAGACCATCTACAAAGCGCATGGTTCGAACGCGTCGTGGGAATGGCTGGCGATGGTCTCGCCGTGCATTGACATCCTGCGCCGACTCTCCACCCAACTCAACGACTCACTGGGCGCAAAGCAAGGCTCGAAGCACACGAGTCCTAGCCTCGAGAGAGACATCACCGTGTTGATGCAATCTCTGCGACAACATCGTGTGTACGAACTCGAGCCTGGGCGCGAGATCGACGATGACAAGGCAGTGGTGCCCGACTCTTACACCTTGGGCCTGGAGCTACTGGAGGGCCCACTTGACGAGTTCAATCGCAGCATTGCGAAGCTGCAGGCGCGCTGTCGGAGCACACCTTTGGTAGGTGGCAGATACCCCGGGACGAGCCCTACAGGTGAATCAACCACACAGACGGAGATCGATCAGAATGACGGTGAAGTAGAGAGTCGTGTTACCTCAACCAATGCTAAAGAAGCCGTCGACGCGTCGGAATCGGATTCCGACGACGACGTTTCCGACGATGAAGGTGATGTTGAGGATGACCATCGGCCTCAGGCGATGTTCTCGTTGGATATGGCAGGCGACGTGGCTCTCGATCCAGACCTTCTAGACGACTTTGAATTTGGTATATAGTGTACAATTGTTTTTGTGCTATGTACAGGCCAACTCTCGTGTCTACAGGGTGTTGCGGGCTTCGCGCCTCTGCGGGCGCAAACGCGCGATTTCTCTAAGTCCCGGGCGCTACCGGGGTACTGGGGTAAAGGGCGGCCAAACCTCCCAGCCGTTCTGGCGAACATGAGGAGTGCCACGACGGAGTTTAAAATATCTCTCGCCAGATCGGCTGGGAACGAGCCTAAGTATCCGTTACTGACCAAAAAGAGATACTCTCGTTTTTGGGCTTGCTTGGATTTAGCTATCGCGGCAGTCCTGCGAAACGCTTATCTGGGGAACCGCATCGATGTCCTGACTCCTGACTCCTCGTCAGTTCATTCTAGTGATAAGGTTTCTCTTATATCGAGGTTGAGCACCACCTGCTATCCGTTCGTCGACAAGCTCAAAATCTCCGTCATGTTGCGCATCGGGGTCGACGTTGGCGGTGAGTACCGATCGGATCTCGGGCCACATGCGTTATATCCAAAAATGGAAGCCGTGCACATTTAGCGCTTCAGCAGCACGACCACTTGTCCTTGTCTTCGGCAAGCAAAAGTCTACGGGGATTTCTGGCCCATTTTAGGATGGAGAACTCAGCTGCTACGCAAGCCTCTGTATCACCGGTGGACATTGATCCATCAGCGAGACTGCAAACTTGACAGTGGCACTCGGAGCAAGCGGCGGCGTAGCAGTTGAGTCTGTGTATCCGTCTACTCACGCACGCACGGGAGCCTGAATCGTGACGCCTACACTAGTACTTCTCATGCTGATCTTGCCCGCTTTTGTAAATGCTTCTGACCACCAAGTTCCAAATTCTGAAAGGTACAAATACGGATGGCGTGCTCATCGATTTGACACGCCTACACGAACCAAACCGCGGGGTTCTCGCGCATTTCAAGGCACCTACGACTCCAGATGTCTCTCAAGGAATCGAGAATGCTGTCCGAGAAATATTGGAGCGTGCAGACACAGCAGTGACGTCGGTCTCGTCTCTTAGCATCGGCACTACTGCTTTCATCAACGCTGTGCTCGAAGCGGATGCACGACGACTAGCGAAGGTTGCTGTCATTCGCCTGTGTGGACCGTATACGAAGCAGTGTCCGCCATTCGTCGACTTCCCGCCACGTCTGCGTGCTCTAACAGAAGGGTATGTTGGATATGTTGACGGCGGTCTACAGAGTTCGTACCAGGTCCTCCTTCACTTGACGTGTCATATTCTCACCTCGGGCAACAGTTGATGGTCGCGAAGTCCTGCCCTTGGATGAAGATCAGGTGATAGAGCAGTGCAAGATTATTAGGGCACAAGGCCTCAAGAATGTGAGGGTTCTTTGACTTCTGTCACAAACTCCCAGGCAAGCTAGAATTTGTCAGATTGTCATATGCGGCGTATTTTCACCCCTGGATAACGATGGAAAGCAAGAGCAAACCGCTGCCGAGATCGTTCAACGCGCATTAGGAGACGGAGTTGACGTTGTCTGTTCGCGTAACGGTCAGTGCTTCCTTCTCCGCGACAGCAGTATTGTTGACAGATTCATACTTCCTACTAGTTGGACAAGTCGGCTTCCTCGAGCGCGAGAACGCGTCCATCTTGAACGCTTCAATCCTCACCTTCGCTCAAAGAACCATTCGAGGTTTCCAGGCAGCCATGAAGGCCCTCAATCTCGCGTGCCCCCTGTTCCTCACTCAGAATGACGGCACTCTCACGACTGCGGCGTCCGCTGCACGACTACCTATCCGCACGTTCGCGTCGGGACCTACGAACTCAATGCGAGGCGCCGCTTTTCTAGCCGGTCTTGACGAGAAGCAGACGGGACAGCAACGCAAGTCGATCATTGTTGCTGACATTGGTGGGACAACCACAGATGTGGGCGTGCTTCTGCCATCCGGCTTCCCGCGACAGGCAGCGTCTTTCATCGAAGTTGGCGGGGTGCGTACGAACTTCGCCATGGCGGATGTCCAGTCCATTGGCCTGGGTGGCGGCTCCCGTGTGAAGGTGTCTGAGACGGCTCAGGGGCGCAGCGTGACTGTCGGTCCCGATTCCGTGGGACACTATATTACAAGGGACGCGAAGGTGTTCGGGGGAGACGTATTGACTACCACTGATGTCGTTGTCGCAAGTGGCCGTGCACAACTGGGAGAAAAAAACAACGTTACCGGTATTGACCCAGACACCGTCGAGAAGGCCAGCAAGGCAATGAAGAAACAGCTGGAGGGAATTATCGATAAGTATGTGATCATGTGCATGTCGTGTTACGCTACTCATCACAACCGTCAAGAATGAAAACATCTCCCGAAGACATAACTGTTCTCTTAGTTGGTGGTGGCAGTATCATCGCGCCAGAGCAACTGTTTGGAGTCGGGGAAATCGTACGCCCACCTTACTTTGGAGTTGCGAACGCTGTCGGTGCGGCAATGGCCAAGGGCGAGTTGTAGTTTAATGAATGCTGCGGACAGCGCGCTGACTGAACATGTCATGCCGTTGTAGTCGCCGGAGAAATAGACACCATAGAGATATTGCAAGGTCGCGATATACACGAAGTCATCGAAGGTATCAAGGCTCAAGCGATCGAGAAGGCCATCAAAGGCGGTGCCGACCCAGGTGAGATAGATGAAACCATCAGTATGGCGCACTGTGTTGACCTGTTGCCACACAGCGACTGTCAAGATCGTCGAGGTCGCTAACCTCCCTGTGCAATACGTGACGAACCAAGCAACAAGGATCATCGTCAAAGCTGCGGGTGACCTGGCACCCGAAGCGGTGGCCTCCATGTCCGCGTTTGATATACAGATGGACGATCAGGACGTGGCCAACATAGAAGAGAACGACAAGACGGTCCTCACCGATAGTATTGGGGAGGATGCAACTATAGACATTGAAACTTATACGCCTGAAGTTCGACAAGATCGCTCTTGGAGTGTATCTGAGTTGGACCTCAGTGCGTTGCCCTGTCTTTCTCTATCGCTTTACGAGCTAATGATCCTCTTCTTCAGAGTGGATCGCAGACGGCTGCGGAATATTGGGCACAGGCGGGGGAGGCACAACATACCCACCGTACCTCATGGCTCGCCAACTCCTGCGCGACGGGAAAGAGATCATTGTTAGTATAGCCGTCTCAAAACGGACAAGTAGTATTGACCGTTGATCAGGTCGTCGATCCGGATGACGTCGCTGAAGATACGATCTTTCTGCGCTGCATGTTTATGGTGAGTGCTGTCATGTCATTGAGCAGTACCGTCTTGACGATGTGCTTTAGGGATCTCCTAGCGTCTCGGTGCGGTCAGATAGTTGTCATCATCTCGGAAGGCATTGACGGGGCGTCGAATGTTAAGATCGAGCGTGTACAAGGAGGAAACGAAATACCCACGTCTATTCGTAGATTGATGACGTATATGAACCTGCAAGACTTCGCAGGCGTTATATCCGATGAGATTGGAGGAGGAAACGGCATACAGCCTATGCTTGTCGCCGCGGAAATGGGTAAGACAGTTCTAGACGCTGATCTCATGGGCCGCGCCTATCCCAATGTACGCCGAGGCTACGATTCATTCTCCTTGAGAGTCCTGTAGCTGACTCAACGATGTTTCCAGATGTATCAATCGCTGCCTGGTGCATTCAATATCCCCGGTGGGCTTTGGCCTTGTGCAATATCTGACGGCGTTGGGAACACGGTGGTGAGTAGGTAATAAGGCATCCGGCAACTAGATTATCTCACCTCACTTCACAGGTCATGCCCTCGGCAAGCACGCCCAAGATGATTGAGACTGTCCTTCGTAGTGCAACAACAGAAATGGGCTCTAGAAGCGGTGTTAGCATGGCTCCTCTGAGCCGTTTAAATTGCCAAAAATATGGTACTCAATGCGTCGCTCGAACGTCACTCATGACACTGACTCTGGTGCGAAAGGTGTTACGCGCAGTGTCTCGCAAGCGTGGCACATTGGTCGTGCAGTCGCTCTTTGCAGAAGGAGAAACGACTTGAAGGCTATACCCGCCGCAATCCTAGAATTGCAGAACGGCGCTTGCCTGTTCGTTGGTAAGATTGTGGACGTGCAAAGAGTATGTTTCTCCTTCTTCGAATCAGATTATGGGAGATACTGATGCTGATGAGCAGGAAGTACGCAAGGGTTTCACCTGGGGTCAAGTCACTATTGTGCCCTTGGTGGAGGACGAGGAAGAAGATGATGGCTCCATAAACGCGCCCGCGCCTGCGTATGGCCCGGATGACCGCCTCATCATACCGTTCCAGAATGAGAACCTGTATGCGTACTTGGCGACCCCAGACGGACAGCAGAAGGTACGCATCCTGAACTCAGCATGTCCGTGTCTCTGAGCCTTATCCCTGTAGATGTTGGCTACTGTGCCGGACCTCATCACTGTCCTGGACTCGCAGAACGGAACAGCTCTTGGCACTCCTGTTTACCGGTGAGTCGTTGTAGTGCTGGAAGTTAACAACCACTGCTGAACGACAGAGCAAGGTATGGCTTGAGGGTGACCGTCATCGCCATGGCGGCCGATCCTAAGTGGACCACTACCCCAGAAGGCCTGGCATGCGGCGGTCCGGCTGCCTTCGGGTATGTACTACATAAGATCACTTGACGTGTGTGTATCGACCTCATATTGCCACGTTCAACAGCTTGCACGACCTTGCCTTCAAGCCCATCGCCCAGTACAAGGAACCTGTGAGCGTCATCACCCTGTTTGCTCCTGCCTGATCGCCTTGCATGCGGCATCCTCACGATTATACGCCTACACAATGCTATACCTCATTCTTCGTGACGTGTACAACGTGTGATACAGATTCAGCACCAGCAGAACCTATCTCGCTACTATCTCAGATTCTGTGATATCGAGGCCATAAAAGTGAGCACGTACTTCTCGTTAAACGCCCACTCCACCTCGTTCTCGCCCTCCTTCCCGTACCACTTGAACGCAGAGAGATGATCTGTCCTTGCCGATGTCTCCCAGTCCGACTCGCTCGCGGCTGCCTGCAACGTTTCGGGCAGTCCCCAGATTTCGATCTTCTGGAT